GGTTGTCTTGTCCCAGATCAGAAAGTTTCTGATTTTGGAGCACTTCAGATTTAGGGCTTTCAGGTGAGGGAACCTCAACCTTGTGTACTGTTGGAGCAGCAGGGTGACGAAGAGAATGTTCTAACCTGGATTGCACTGCAGGGCACGGCCTTCCCTGCCGCCACCCCGAACTACCCTCTGTCCTAGCCCCTCGTGGTTAATAATCTGTGAGTATCTAATAAATGAGCAGGTGGAAATTCAGAATTAAGGGATGCTTCTTAGGAATGAACTTGGAGAAGACTTTGAGGCTTTTTCAAACTTGAAATGCATCTTTTCTTCCCCTTGGGGAGTAGTTGGGAAGGGCTGGGCTACTGGAATTAGCACTGAACCCAATCTCTGGAGGAAGTGAGCAGCAGCAACTTCCTAACCACACAGGAGCAGGCCTGAGTGTGAAAGTCCCTTCTGCGGTGATGGCGTGGGTGGGGCTAGTTAATCATTATGGCTCCTGCCCAGTCCATTTCTAGTGCTGAGTGCAGGAACTGGGAGCTGAGGCCACTGGTTTTGTCCTGAAGCGTAAGAGACCCCACACGCACACCTTAGCGCTTCTTACTCTTCGGCTTCCTCCAGACCTTGGGACAATGGCAGGCCTGGTGATAAGCCCGGGCTGGGCCGCTGACCTGGGCTCCAGGTCCGGTCCGGGGCGGAGGCGGAGGTGTCAGGTTGCGCTATGATGCAATGCTTCATTTGCTGAATCAGACTTGCTGGGAAACTCGGCCTTGACTAACCTGTGTGTGTATAGATTCAATGGCTAAATGTTTAGGCCGCTCACTGGACGATGCCTTCTTAACCCAAAACAAAGCCAGCCATTCATGTGCCAACTTTGATTGAAGTTTGCCATCCAGAAAAGTGGCCACATCCTGAGTGCACCACCCTGTGAGCTTTCACAAACCCAGCACACCCCATAACCAGCATCCAGAGAGAGAAGCCACAGGACCTGCCTCTTGGAACCCCAAGTGGGTTCCCCTCTAATCCCTTACCCTTCCCAATAGCCGAGATTAGTTTTTTATTTCTAAATAAATGCAGCCAACCCCATTTATTCTTTTGTGCCTGGCTTCTTTTGCTCAATCTTATATTTATAAGGTTAAACCATATTTTTGTGCTTAACTATCAACCCTCTTTTTCACTGCAGTCTAATACTCTCTTGTGTAATTAAACCACTACCCATTCATTCTAAAGGTATCATTCTTTTAAAACATATGGAAGGATTTCCCACATTCCAGCTCATTCAAACTTCAAATCACTGTTTTGAATCTTTTTATTATCTTTTCCCCCTGCTAAATCTGACTATTCTTCTAATGACTTCACAGTTTTATCTTCCTTCCAGTTAGACTCTTCTCACAAACACCCTCAAGGAGAACAGAGCTGCCCGGACTCCTCTCTCCAAATCTCACTGTCCTCTCCTCACCCAACACTCGTGGTTCTCCCTTGAGATGATGGGGTTGGCACTTCTTTGAATGCTGTGTGCCCATTTGGAAAACCTGTGGTCTTCATTTTTACCCTGGGGCCCCATTTTCCTCCCTCCAAGCACTGGGTCGGGGGCTTCTTCTGAAGTCACCTTTCCCATGCGTGAGGGTCGCCTGCTCATGTTCCCATGCTGACCAGAGGCTGCCTGGCATCCAAGGGCTCTCCTGCTGACCTTGTGCCGCTGGGTGGCTGAGTTCAAAGCAGCTCACCTTAGGTCAGCCAAGATGTGCTACCCTCACCCTGACTCCTTTAGTACACCCTGGTTACTCTGGTTCTACCCTTTCTGCCTTCCAGGACTGTGGGTCCCAGGGAGAAGAAGCTCCTGCCTGGACTTGCCTGGCCCTGCAGGCCCTCACGGTGGCCTCTCAGGAGGAGGGGACAGGGTACTCACGCATGAGGGCTCCCATGCCTTCGTCCTGTCAGAACCCTGTGGGCCTGACCTTCAGGGAGGAAGCTGAGCACAGGAAGACAGATACAAAGTCAGGCAGAGAAGTGGTTTCTCCTCAGCAGGGTATCTGCGTGCAACAGTCCTTGGCCTGAGAATTTTATCATGATGTGCACTGAAACACCAGTTTCCTTGTTTTCTAATATCCTTAGCCCTTTGTATAACAGAAAACCTTTTTTATTTTTATGAGTATGTGTTTGCAGTATGTAACGATTCCATTCAGCATGTGGAGTTGGTACTTGGATGTAGCACATCTCAATTCTTTTTATGTCCTTTTTGATGTATGAATTTACTTGAAAAGCATTAAATTCTATTCAGCTGTACACTCTAGGAATCACTTTTTCTGAAGTAAGTAGGAGCCTCTTAAAGCAGGACTGCCCATGAAAATCAGCTCTGCCTCGTCATTGTCAGTTAGTTGTAGAGCCCACATCTTGTACCGAAAGATTAATCTTTCCCCACGGTCCATGGAAAGATTCAGCAGGAGCTCCCAAGCTGGGGTCAGAAATGGTGAGAGTGAATTCACTGGAGACAGGAGGCTCACTGACAATAACTTCCTACAGACAGGAGGGGATAGGGCAGCAAGCGGAAGTGAGAGCCTTGAAAGCCGAGGGCCACTTACATCACCACCACATCAGCCCTCGACCCATTCTACCTGCTTGTGGCCTGTGTCTCAAGACTGCCACCTTAAGAAAGTAAGTTCTATGAAAATTAAAGTCATCAAGAGTTGGCTGGGATTCTGACTGTGTTTTAGACAGCTCATGTGTATTCTCACTGTGCCCTAAAAGACCAACTCAAAAGTCATGAAGCACAAAGGCAGGTGGGGAAAATAAGCCTTGAAATAATAAATACAACGCTGCCTGTCGGCAGTTGGAATTTTTGCAGGGTAGCTGTCTTGGCCTCTGGCAGTGTGATTTAATGGCCCTGTCGCTGCATGGGTTGACATAGCAACTGTGGAAAATGCCATAAATATCTGAGTCGTGGATGTGAATGGTATGTTTACATTGTGGGTGGTGTATTGTGGGACATGTGGTGGCTGTTATCCCATCCAATTGGAGATGTCTGGAGGTGACAGCCATTTTTTAGAGTCATTTAGGCTAAATGACTCTCCTAACAGACACTCTGCTACAAGTTGTAGCTTTGCATTTTTGTGTATATTTGAGAAATTAAACTCAGCATTTCATGAGCCACAGCACCTCAATACAACTTGTGAGGTACCAGGGGCCACCTTCTGTTTCAGAATCCAGACAAGGTCAGATTGCGTATGAATTCAGCACACCAGCAGGTAATGACGGCATTTAGGCAAAACAGAATCGAATAAGCACTTGCATAAATTTATTGAAACCCAAATCCTAGTCCAATTATTTCATTCCTCAAGGTAACAGAGAAAAGGCCTGATTTGCTTTGTGCTCAAACTCTCCAGGATGGCAATGACATCCATCCCTTCCCTGTGCGTAGTGAATTTTCATAGTGAATGTTGGTCCCTGAAAGCCATCAGAGAAATCCATTTACCAAGCAAAACAACATTTTTTTCTTTTTCTTTTTCTTTTTTTGGTACCAGGGATCGAACTTGGGACCTTCCACTTGCGAGGCAGGTGGCAGCACTACTGAGCTGAATCCCCGGCCCACAAAACAACATTTTTGAGACTTATCTGACAAGGGAGAGCTCAAACTTGCTGAGTCTTCAAGGTGGCTGAAGATGACAGAGAAGAGTCTTGGGAGCACTCCTAGGCGAGTGGGAAGGTCACTGTTCAGGAGGCCCTGGCTGCGTCTTGTGGGGTTCGTGATATTATGGGCTTGGATTCACAGCCACAGCGAGGCAAGGGCTCAAAGCTAGTCTTGCCAAGGAAGCTACTCGCTAGCAAGTCGATCGTTCAGTGGCTTCCTGGTGTCACTTTCTTTTAGAGAGCTTGGGACAGGCAGCCAAACTGTTGGCCTGGTGTTGGTGTAGTTTGACTCAGGCACAGGGAAGGATGACTACTCTGACCAGCACTGTCCAGCACTGGTCAGGAAATTCTGTTCTGTTCTCAGTGGCTTTAGGTGAGTCATTTAATCTCTCAGGGTCCTATTATTTACTCATTCATTTCATTCATTCATTCATTCATTCACCCTTTCATTAACCAGATGCTGAGTGCCTGACTTAGGACACAAGGGGAGGACTGACAACTTCCCATAAGGAACCTACCGTGTGTCCTCTTGGTTCTTTGAATATGTTACTGTTTTGTGAGACTCAGGTTTCAAAGAGCTAGGACAAGCTGAGATATTGCTGACTATTTTTATTTTAAACATCCTCTAGCATGTTAGAAAGCACAGGAAAGCGCTGGGGATTTAGCTCAGTGGTTTCACAGCCTGCTGTGCAAGTGCAAGGACCCAAGTTCGATCCCCGCTACCAAAAAAAAAAAAGAAAGAAAGCACAGGAAATTGTCTCAGCAATGCAAGGCCAGGCCTCGTGAAGACCTCAGATGTTTGTGGCCACAGTTCTGGCCAAGCACCCCACACCCCATCTCCTGGAGGAGTGGGTATGCTTGGCTGATTGTCATAATCTAATGTGGTTTTTATCCCAGGCACAGTGCTGCCCCCAGATCAGCACTGAGATCCATGATGTGTCATTGTACGGGACTGAGTAGTCCTGGCACAATCAGTGGTGCTCATGACACAGGTCACATGACCACATGCATAAGAAGTCCCTGGGTCACCTTTACATATTTGCTCTCCAAGGCCCTCAAAGAAAAACCTGTGTCTCTGTGTCCAGGGCGCACCTGTGCTGAACAAGCACCTCACACTTATGAAGGGTCTCACACATGTATTCATTTATTTGTAGGCAGCTCTTTAATCCTCATATCCTTTAACTGAAACTCAAGTCTTCACTAGAGTCAAACTTAGCTCTCTTTACTAAAATTATTTTCTTATTTTAGTTTTTAAGAATTTTTATGGTACAATATCTTACTGTATCCAAAACAGTTATGGAGAATGCCTAAATTAACAAACATAAAAACACGAGAGACTTGAAATGGAGAGTTTTAAAAAGCTTAGTTTTTCCTTTATTTCTCCCTTTCACTTTAATCTTCGTTTTGCAAAAGAAGCAAAATATTGTCAGCAAAGAGAAGACAGATTTGTCACGTCTTAATTTGAAGGTAAAGAATTGCCTTCAATCACTGACCTTTATTTCTTTGTCCTGGGATCACACTGTAACTATGGAGCCTGTTTCAACACGAAGTCCTTGGGAGAGGGTTTAACGGTGTCGCAGGCGGCAGGCCCTGTCCTTCTCACGCCCACAGGTATTGATGTGTTTGGTTTAGAGACCCATTCATCACTAGCCTGAGTAGTCATCAGTCATGCGGAGATGGTCCTTTGTCTCCCAGACTTCTAATTCACCTTGCTCCAAACTCGATGTGCACTGAAAATAGGAAAACTTTGTGGGTCTCCTGCATGGTAAATAGAGATCATTTTTAACACTTTGGAGCAACAGTACTAGAAGGTAATTTTTCTTTGAGCTCTTCTTGGCCTACAAGATTCTTTATTATAAGAGAGACTGAGAATCTAATTATTCTTTTTGTGGATGACAGCTGTGACTTCCCCTGGGCCACTATCATGGGAAGGAGAGAAGTCAATCCATGGGGGGAAATGGGTGGAAAATGTAATATTCAGATGTGAAAAAGAAACGCCACTAGCAGCAATGACTCTCCAGCAGCAATGAGCATGCCTGAGACCAGGTCTTGGTTTCCAACATCACGCTCCAGTGGAAGAAGCTGGAGTTCTCTGGACAATGGATGACCATCACACGGAGACGGGGGACACACATGATGAGCCTGGTCACCCTGCAGTGCCTGGATGCAAGAAAGTTCTCAAGAAAGCACACAGTGAAGGAAGGATCTTCCAGGGACCTGGTAGCCCACCAAAGGGGGTGCCAGGGGTCCAAGGCTGGAACAGTTTAAGCAACCAGAGTGCTAAAGTAACATTAGCCTATAACCCAGAGTACAGAGTAACTATCCTGAGTATATATTGATAAATACATAAAATAAGTAAGTAAACAAATAAATGGGGTAGAAGAGATGAATCTCTCATGCAAAAAGAAAAATCTCAGTAATTTATGCAGAAACTCTGCCTCCAGAGTAGAGTAAAATTCCCACTCCTAAGTGTGGCCTGCAGGGGTGACTTCCTTCCAAAGAACACAGCATGGAGGGAGGAAGGGAGAGGAACTTCACTGCTTCACCAAGACAGACTTGACCTCAGCCAAGTGGCCAAGGTCATCCTCAATGCCCATCAGTCATGCTGAGGCACTGACCCTTGATGGGATGCAATGAGTACACTTTACCCCTGCGTCTTCCTCTCAAAGTCCCATGACCTCAGTCTTAGCAAGAGCAAAACTCAGGATGGATCCTAATGGGGGACATTCTATGGAGTGCCTGGCCCCACCAACCACTGTCAGACCATGAAAATCAGGAAGATCTGAGCAACTGTGATAGTTGAAAGACACTTGGGAGATGGACCCTGAAACAGGAAAAGAATATTAGGTAAAAACCAAGAAAATCCATGCGAAATATAGAGTTGCGTAAATTGGACCTAATGTGTCCATGCTGTTCATTGATTGTGATAAATGCACCTCACTAAGTAAAATATTAATAATAGGAGAAGTGGGATGGCCATGGTGAATGAGGATTCTCAGTACCATTTTGAACATTTTTTTTCTGTAAATCTCAAGCTACTCTAAAAAAATTTTTTCTTTTAAAAACATGAAATAACAAAGACAATAACCACATCTTTATTTCTGACTTCTATGATTCTTTGCACAATTCACCACCCTTTAAGCAGTGAGAATCAAAGTCAGTGCAGTTCTAGGTCAGTGACCTAAGTACTACTGGGCCCAGACATTGTCCCTGTCCCCGTGCTTGCCAATGTTGGGACCAAGAAAAAGTGACTCACCTGCTTGCTTCGGGAATGACCACTCATCCAAAAAGACATCGGTCAGCTCTAGGAGCTTGGTGATCTCCAAGGTTTGCTCCAAGACACTTGCCTTTCAGAGTTCAGCAGTTCGGAGCATGAGGGTACAAACTCTGTCCCCTCCCAAACTATCCCCACACCTCAAGGCCTGCCCTCCCATCACCCCACCCAGCCCGGATTCCTCAATCTCAGACACCAAGACTGCCAAGGTGGGCTCCCTTCAAACTCCAGCAGAACAATTAGCTAGTTTTGTTCCGTCAAGAATTTCTTCTGAGGTCTTTCGAGGAGCTGACAGTGAATAGAAGTGAGTTGAGGCCAGAGAACTCACTCTTGTTTTTTAAGAACATCTCAGTTTCTTCCATTCTCACTCAATTTCAAGTCAGGTAAACATCAGTGGAACCAAAGTTCCCCTCTCTTAGGATGGCTCTAATCCTCCTGTGTTGGCTCAAGATGGCAACCAAGGATGGTTTTGGCTTTAGGGGCCCTGTGGTGCAGAGAGGAGCATGGTCCTCTGGATTACTGCTAGACTCTGCTGGAGTGGCCCCAGGCTTGTGTCTGTTGACCAAGTCCACAGCCCATGGGTATGTGTCTGTCTGCCGGCTAAGATGGCTGAGGGGCTCCCCTCCCTGACTGAACAGAGCCTGAGTTCTGGCTGCTACCCAGTTTGGGGGAGGTCTGGGCCTTGGGAGGGTGTGTTTCCCACCACGGTGGTTCTGCCCTATGGGGCCTGGAGTATGAGCAAGGCCTCCTTCCAGCCGAATCAGTCCATTGTGCTGGCACCACTCAACCGTGGCCACCCTGTGGGGAGTCAGGGCCACCCTCTGTGTGCTCTCCAACCAGGGTTTCAAGGTTTTGGTTTTCCCAATTTAAGACCTCACCACACCCAAGATTTCAGTCCAGGTGGGGGACAACATGTCATGGCCAGCTCATGGCTTCCTCCTGCCTCGGCTTCCCTCTCTCCCTGGTGGCCCTCCATGAGATGCTTCCCATGTGTCCTCTCCTTTTTCTTCAAAGGTGACTGCCGTGGATCTGGGGCTACTCAGGAATGTCTACTCAGATCCCCTTCAGAAAAGGATTGGTGACCAGCTGTGAGAACAGTGGTGAGCTGAAAATCTGCACTGTTTGTCCCCAGGGGATGGCATTACCTGTGAGCCCTGATGCCTGAATGGCACACAGACAATGACTGGGCACACTGGCCACATCCTCCAGCATGGACCCTCCATGGACCCTCTGTGGCAGAGACCTTATTCCTCAGAGCTGCTCTGCACTCCAGATCCCCTCCACATCTCCTTTCCTTCACCTTGCACTTCAGTGGGGTTGGCCCTTGATCATGGTCCAGAGGCTCCTTGCCACTTGCCACGATCCTCTCTTGCTCTCTTGTTCTTGTATCTCTTCCTGGAGGAGCCACCTGGAAAGCTACAGTCCACAGAGCCATGGTGAATGACTGAGAGAAAATACTGGCTCATGAGGGAGCAGGTGGACAATTTGTGGGGCCAGCATCCCCGAGTGACATCACACCAGACAATGCTCGGCCAGCCGTCCTGGGGAACACTCACCTGGATGTTTCCCCATGGCTGACCAGATGCTTCCTTCTCTACCCTGCTTGCTCCTGCAGACTGGCATCTGCTCTCTTCCTCAGGGCTTCTCCCTGGGCTCCAATGGCAGAATCACCAGCAGGACACTAGAGGGGAGAAAGAGAGGGACTGGTGATGTTCTTCCCAGCCTTCTCCCCTCTGAGTCACTGGGGGGACCACGTCCCTCAACAGAAGGCTGCAGCCTTTGAGGGTGAGCGGAACTCACTCAGGCTCTGTTGACCATTTCCTGTCTTGCCCATCAGTAGCTGGACTCAGGTACTGTGCCTTTGTACATGGTTGAGTGCCAGGACCTGAGTGACTGCAACAAAGCCCAAACACAACCTTAGAGTTACCCACGTTCACTCAGCACAAGGACACTCATTTTATCAACCAAAGTCTGAATCACCAGGTTTAAATATGCTATTTCTCAAATATGGAGAAAGTAAAAATATGAATGCTGGCAGATTCTCTCTCTATAAACATGTTGAGGTGACCACTGAACTAGACTATTTGAGTCTTATTATGGAATTTCTCCACCATTTGCCATCATAACTGACAGAACCTGTCAAAGGCAGTAATTGGTCACATGTGAGTTCAGTGGAATTCAACATTCTGGGTTAATATTAATTGGCAACTTGGTTGGACTGAGAAACACCTAGGAAATAAGTAAAGCACACGCTGGGTGTGTCTGTGGTGTTTCCAGAGTGACTGGCATATGGGACACCCATCCTGATTGTATCTCCATTCTGTAGCTGGGAACCTGGATGGCACAAAGTTAGGAAGAATCTCTCTCTCTCCTGGCTCCTTTTCTGGGTGCCAGGAGGTGAGCAGCTTTCCTTCACCATGCCTTTCCACCATGATGTTTCTGCCTTGCCACAGGCCTAAAGCAATGGAGCCAGCCGACCATGGAGTGACTCCTCTGAAACCATGAGCCAAAGCCAACCTTTTCTTCTTTAAGTTGTTTTTCTCAGGTATTTTGTACCAGTGACAGAAAGCTGATGAACAAAACACAATATGAAATTTTTTAACAGTACATTGTATCAAAACAGTGATTCAGGGCAGTGGTTATAAAACTATTTTCTTTGTTTTCTTATAATTCTTTTGAGAAGTTAAGAAAGCTAGGTACAGCCTCCACAGATAAATGTGAATATGGTTGTACTCACAAATTAGAAAAACAATTTCACACAATTTGGGTAAACTTTGTGTCCCATAGTTTTCAGTCCTCAAATTCTGAACTTATGGTACACAGAGATGTAAGAAAACAACACAACTCTGGGAGACTGTGTTCAGGGTAGATACTTCCCACATGAGCACACCCACACACACAAGTGTACGCACAAACATACACAAGTCAACACAGGGAAGGCACTGCTAATGTGAAAGGCAGTGAATGAAACATTAGACCCAATAAAGGCAGATGTGTCTGTGTGTGCATAAGTGTGTGCACACATGTGCACAAATGTCTTTTTTTTTT